ATTTAGTTGGGTTGAGTTTTATGCTGAGAGGAAAATTCCTTGTCCTACTGTATGTTTTACATAACGTAAAACACGATGGGCTACTTCTAAGTGTAAATCTCGTGGTTTGTCCATAAATTGACTTAAGATATGAATTGCATATGCCAAGTCAGGACGTGTAATAGTCAAGTAGATTAATCTCCCAACTAGTCTTAGGCATGATGATGGATCACTGACATATTCTCCTTCTGATTTGCTAAGAGATAAGTTTTGTTCCATAGGGAAAGTGGTTGGTTTTGCACCGAGGTACCCAACATCCTCGAGTATTTCAAGAGCATACTTTCGTTGTGAAAATACAATACCCCTCTAGGATCGCGCAACCTCAATACTAAGAAAATATTTCAATTGTCCAAGATTCTTTAATTTGAATTGGTTCCTCAAGAATATTTTGACATATTCGATTTCTTGTAAGTTGTTCCATGCAATGATGAAATCATCTACATATATAAGAAGGGCGATGAATTTACCATTCTGGGATCGAACGAACAAGGACTAGTCTATCTTTGATTGCAAAAAATTGGTTTGCTTTAGAGCGGTGGAAAGCTTGATGAACCATTGTCGTGAAGATTGTTTGAGACCATAAAATGATTTGTGGAGTTTACAAAATTGAATCTCTCCCTTTCGTCCGAGACCAAGAGGTAGCGACATATATACATCTTCGTCGAGGTCCCCATGCAAGAAAGCATTATCGACATCTAGTTAGTGGATATGTCATTGTTTGGTTGAAGCTAACACAAAGAGTAGACGAACAGTTATAAGATTTGCTACAGGGGCAAAGGTATCATGATAATCTAGCCCTTCAATTGATTATACACTTTTGCCACTAATTTGGCCTTGTAGCGTTCAACTGTCTCATCTACATGAAGTTTGATTTTGTATACACAATTGCATCCAATTGGCCTTTTTCCAAGCGTTAATGGTACAAGGGACCATGTGACATTGGCGTTGAGTGCGTCAAGTTCTTCTCGCATAGCAAATTGCCACTTTGGAATACGAGTAGATTCTACAAAACTGTTTGGCTCCTTTTCAATTGAAAGAGCGGTGGTAAAAGCACAATGTTTATGTGACAATCTAGCATATGACAAAACGTTGGTTAATGGATAGAAGGTACCTGTAGTTTTGGCCAACACCGAGTTCGATGTTGGGGGGTGTCGTGAGGGAAGAGAAATACCAACATGTTACTCACGCAAATAGTTAGGAATTTTTGTTATTCTCATTTGTCGTGGTGATGGCATTTGTTGGTCTGGAATTGCAGGTTATTCTGAGAATAAATTTGAGGTGAGTGAAGGTGAATGAGTCTCTTGAGAGGGGATTTCGTTCTCTCGAGAAGATGGAATATCTTCTTAAGGTAATTCATCGAATGAAGCCATGTCGGTGTGCGTGGTGAAGTGCGGAATTGAACATTTATCTGTAGCAAAAGAAGGGGAAGGGGAAGGGAAAGTGTTTTCATGGAAACGAACATCTCGTTATACAAAAACCTTCCCAGTTGAAAGGTCATAGACATATAGCCCTTTTGCGTGTATGGAAACCCTAAGAAAAGACATTGAATGGCTCTGGGATCAAACTTGGTTGGTCGCTGATGATGTGTTGAAGCATAATAAAGACACCCAAACACGCACAAATGATCATATGTGGGTTGTGTTTTGAAGAGCATTTCAAAAGGAGTCTTTTCTTGGAGAAGGGGTGTTGGTGTTCGGTCAATTAGGTAGGTGGCAGTTAGGATTGTATCTCCCCAAAATTTTTTGGGTAAATTAGCTTTGGGATTAGCTTGAAATAATAAGGCTCGGGCTATGTTGAGTAAGTGACAATGTTTTCTTTTGGCTACAACATTTTGTTACGGAGTGGAGACACAACTAGATTGGTGAATGATGCCTTTATCGAGATAAAGATTCCTCATTATGAATTCAGGAACATTATCACTTAGAATGATTTTGACATTTAAACTGAATTGTGTTTTAACGAGGTTTATGAACTTCATGATGTATGAATTTGTATCTGATTTATGGTTCATTAAATAATTCTGTGTGCATCGAGTATAATCATCAACAATTGTGAGAAAATATCTCGCTTCTGTGATTGAAGGAACTTGTTATCCTCCCCAAATGTCAACGTAAATTAATTCAAAAGGAGTTTTTGAGCCAACGGAACTTGTTTGAAAAGATGAACGAGTTTGCTTAGTCAATGAGCAAATTAAACAATAAAAAAACATTACAAATTTTTTTGTCTATAATTAGAAAAGGAAACAAGCTGGAAACTTTATTCGATGGGTGGCATAGACGTTTATGCCAGAGATTTAGGGATGGTGAAGTAGCAGCATTGCACTTGCTCTTTTGTGGAGTATCAAGGTATTAGAGTCCTCTTTTAGTTCCCGTCCCAATAATCTTCCCCAATTGTTGGTCCCATAGCACACAAGTGTGTTTATTAAAAAATGACAAGACATTGTGAATCAAGCACAAATTTGTTAATGAAAATCAAATTTAATTTGAAGGAAGTGACACAAAATATTTTGTAGAAGAAAGTCAACAAAATAGATGTTGTCTGTGTGTGTGACAGTTGTAGTAGTCATGTAAAGGAAGTGAACTTTTCAATTGGTGACACTGAATTTTATAGTAAGTATGTTGATTGAATATACCATGTGATCCGTGGCTCCTGTGTCAAGAATCCAGTACATTTCTTTGTAAAAACAGATGCACAAAAGATTTTACCTGAGATATCACTCATGACTGATGTACTACCAACATGATTAGTCATCGAATTATGTTTGTTATCTGCAAGTAGCAATATGAGAATCTGATATTGTTCAGTTGTAAGGTGAATGGTGCAGGGCTTGTCGATGTATTGGTATCTGCATAGTTGGCTTTGGGAGCAAAATTTTTCCATTCAGGTTTATTACCCACTGGATTGGCCCATTTGCAGTTTCCTACAATCATTGATGGTGTCTCTGCCATCCACAATAATCGCATTTGAGATGTGCTCAACATGTATCTAAGGTATGCCCAATTTTGTCACATTTTCCACACTTTAAATGAGAATTTTTAGGTGTGAAAACTTTTAGGCGTGAAAACCTTCTCTGATTTTCGTGCATTATTCTTCATGGCAAAAGCTGCGGCAAAAGCCGAAGCTTCCGGCTGCGATGCACTTACATTGTTCATCCCGTGTTGTTTTTTCTCTTGGAGCGTGAGAGAACGTGTCTTGCTGATATTAGGAAGGGGATCCATGAGCAAAATTTGTCATCTTATATCAATGTATGTTTCATTAAGCCCCATGAGGAATTTCATGATTTTCTGGTTTTGCTGAAACTGCATCAATTCCTTCATGGCACCACATGTGCATTTAGGAATATTATAGAGGGTGTCACGTTCATCTCATTGGTCTTTGAGCTTGGTAAGCTCCAACTGTCATATCGCATTGCTTGCAATCATGGATGACTTCTTCGACATGAAAAATATGAACATTGTTGGTACGAGAAAAACATTCCTTCAAGTCGAGTCAGATTTCATGGGCACTCTCATTGTATATTATATTTTCTTCAATGTCTTCTGCAATTGAATTAAACAATCATGTCTTGACAAGGTTGTTGCAACGCCTCCATTGTTTAAGTTCTGCAGTGGACGTCTCTGGTGGTTCTTTAACGGTGTCGTTGACGAAACCTTTATTTTTTTTTTTTATGCTGAGAGCCATCAACATAGCACGACTCCAAGTATTGTAGCTTTCTCCATTCAACGGCTACGTAACGAGTACGAGACCAAGTTGATCTGAGTAGTGAAGATAAAAGGGGCCGTTCAGATTATCGAATTTGTTATATTCAAGCTTAGCTGAATTTTGAGCTCTGTCTGTCGTGTGTTTCGGCCTAAAAAAAAGATAGATGGGGGTTTCAGCGTGAAAGAGAAAATGGTAAAACTCAGAATCGTGTTTGCTCTGATACCATGCTGAAATTCAGAATAGTGCGGAATAAAGTGGAATACTTGATTGTTTCATTGATATGAACAGGAGTATAAATAACTCTTACAATAATCTTATAATATGACAAATAATAAAAAAAATGATATAAAAGGAAAGATATATCACCTAATATCTCCAATAATCAATTCATATTAATTAGTAGGAGATATAGGAAATAACATAAAATAGGAAAACAAACAATATAGGAAATAACATAAAATATGAAAACAAATAATTTCTAATCCAATGAAATAAATATAAAATAAAAAAATAAATATCTCCTTAATTTTAAGGAAATAATTTCTTCATCATAACTTCTTACAAAAATAAATTATTTTCTATTACACTTAACAATCTGATTCTTTTCTACAATGTATCCAGATTTTTTTAAGCCTGAAGAACTCGATATCACTATGGGAAATTTACATACTTAGAACACAATTTTATTTATTTAAACATTTCATGCTTAAACTTTCATATTTGCATACATAACACTTCTATGCTTTAAACGTATGCCTGAAAAGGTTTATTTTCTTTTGAAAAGTGATAATTTTTCATGCGATATTAGATATTTAAGTGCTATGTGTGTAAATATGATGATTTAAGTCTGAGATTTGTAAATACATAAGAAATGTGTGCTATGTAACCATCCAGTTCTTCTAAAACTGCCAAATTCAGTACAAGAACAAAGAAATGCCTCAAAGTAATGAACTCTGCCGGCAGCAAAATGTAATTCCACATTTCAGAATTGCAAACGACGAACAATAACAATTGCTCTAGCTCTTTCTATCTACGTTAAAAAACCTGAATCGCCCTAATCAACCCCAAATCATTAAATATAGATTTCCAAAGAATTATTTGCATTACCTCGGTTATAGAGAGTAATCGATAATCAATGAACTTCTCTGAGAAGAAACAGAACTGCCGATTATATCATTCGTCATTCGTGGTGGTTATAAAGCAGAAAAGAGGAAAGCGAAGGTAGGGAAAAAGGCGATAGAAAACCAAAGAGAACAAACCTAGCTTCGTCGGCGTAGATCGCCGGCGATGATCAACGAATTCGACGGGCGGCGAGCGCCGGACTCAAACTGAGACCACCGCGTTAGTTTTGGAAATCTGGGCCGCATTCTGCAATTTCTCTTACGTTTAGCTTTCATCGTACGCAAATTAGCTGGCTGATTCGACTCCATTCCAAAGAGGCTGTCAAATCAAAAAAATGTTATATAAAACATTTATTTATAAATTTAATTTAATTATATCAAACAGTTAAAAACAATTAAGTAATGAAATGTATAATTGAACATTTTATTCTAAATTATGTATTTTTTATGTACTTATTCTTAGTTTGAAACTTTGTATTTCAAAATTCAAATTCTTGAATTTTTTTTTTTAAATTAAATCTTGCAACATGATACAACATTAATTAAAATTAATAAGAATATTAAGTTTATATGAATTAATTGTAATCTTAGCAATAAGTGATATGCGAGAAAAGATTTGTATTAATTAGTGACAATGAAAAAAGTAGCTCTTTAATTATTGTTGTCCTACACCATATATGTATTCTTTTTAAAGGCCAATATTTAATTCTTTATTCATTCCAATAGAAATTTAAAGCATTATATAGATTTGATATTTAAAATTTATAAATATGATTTTTTTAACTAAATTGATTAAATTCAAGCTATGATTTTTATTATTATTCTTTTAGTATTATTCAATAGGATATTAAAGATTTTAAGAGTAATAATTTAATGTAATATTGTTGTGTGAAATCCAATACTCAGAAAATAAAAGTAATAGGATGAGACGCTCAAAATTTTTATGTGGAAATGTCAGAAAAAGAAAAAAAACATGGAGTTTAGCTCAGATGAAATGACCCACTATGAGTTGTTAGTACAAAATTAAATCATTCCCACAGTTGAAATAGGGTTACAATTTTTTTCTACAAGTATGATGCTCATATACCAAAAGATTTGATGTACAGTGATAAAAAACAATTGCTATGTCGGCTCTTTCTGCTTAAAGTCTTAAATCTCAAAGTCCTTCATGATCTAGAACACACAGCTGATCCTGAAATCTCAAACTCCTATCTTGATGATATTGAAATCAGGCTTCGATCCATTCTTCGTTTGTTCTCTAAGTTATAGTAAGTTTGCATCCATCATTTGAGTTGCACTAACACGATCCACAAGTTTATGTTGAACTGATAATTGATAAATGCTAGAAGTAGCTCGTATCGAAACTATCTCGAGCTAAAGTCACTCAATCTTCTCAGCTAACTCTTGCTCCTGATTGACCAACCAAACTGCATACATTGAAAACTTTCTTCTTAAAGCATTTGCGACCACATTCGCCTTACTAGAATGATATTGAATCTCCAGGTCATAGCCCTTCGTCAACTCAATCCATTGTCTTGATCTCAAGTTCAACTCATTTTGGGTGAAAATATACTTCAAGCTCTTATGATAGGTGAAGACTTCAAAACAAACACCATAAAGGTAGTGCCACCAATTTTTCAATGCAAAAACAACTGCAGCTAGCTCCAAACTGTGGGTAGGATAATTTCTTTCATGTACCTTGAGTTGACTTGAGGCATAAGCTACAAACTTGCCATGTTGCATTGTACCAGAGGGAATGATGAGAATTGGGGTTATTGCCAAGTAATTCTTGAGTTTCTGGAAACTATACTCACATGCATCAGACCATTCAAACTTAACAGCATTCTGAGTCAACCTTGATAAAGGTGCACCCATACGAAAGAAACGTTCAACAAATCTTTGATATTATCTAGTTAATCCAAGGAAACTATAAATCTCGGTGACAGTGCTCGGCCTTGGCCAATTCATTACTGCCTTAATCTTAGAAGGATCCACAAAATTCATACTTTAAGAATTTGACATAAAATTATTCTCTATAAGTGTATTTAGTGCTAGTCTGAGATGTTGGGTGTGCTCCTCTTCTTTCTCGGAGTAGACCAAAATATCATCAATGAAAATAATAGCAAATTAATCAAAATAGGGTTTAAAACTCTGTTCATCGAACCCATAAAGGCGTCAGAGGCATTAGTTAAACCAAATGACATTACTAAAAATGGGTAGTACTCACATCAAGATCAATAAACAACCTTAGTGACATCTTCAACCTTGATCTTCAACTGATGTTAACTTGATCGGAAGTCGATATTGGAAAACATAGATTAACCTTGTAGTTGATTGAACAAACCACTTATACGAGATAATGGGTACTTATTCTTTGTAGTTTCATTATTCAATTCTCTGTAGTCAATGCACGATCAGATGCTTCAACCTTTCTTCTTCAATAATAGAATGGGTTCTCCCCAAGGTTAGACATTGGGTCAAATGAATTCTTTATAAAGCAATTATTGTAACTGGATTTTTAGTTCTTGGAGTTCTACAGTGGCCATCTGATATGGTTCTTTAGAAATTGGAGTGGTCCATGAAAGTAGGTCTATGGTAAACTCGACCTCACATTCTGGTGGTAAGCCAGACAAATCTTCAAGAAAGACATAAGCAAATTCTCGAACCATTGGGACGCTATTTAAGGAAACGTTAGATTTCTCAGAATCTATCTATGAGCTAAATAGCTAGCACACCCTTAAGATATCAACTTACAAATCTTAACTATCAAAACTAGACAAGAATAACTCCTCCACTACCCTTGAAGCAAAAAAGAAACGAGCCATTTATGCAGAAAATCACCCGACTCTTATGATAATCAATAATTGTGTGATATGTGGATATGTCGTTCATACCCAAGATTATAACAAATTCAACTAGTGGGAATACTATGAGAGTAGCATGCATATGCATTTCATTAATGGTAATGTCACAATCACGAACACAGTGAGTAACGATCACAGTTGAGCCAGATTGACATATGTGCTTGTAATGAGGAAATCAATGCACTAGATGCAAATTGTTTGATATCAATGAATGAGTTGCCCATAGTCAAATAATACCCTGGTCAGTTGCTTTAAAATAAGGATGATACTTATCACCACATCAGAAGCTTCACGAGCTTCTTCCTGTGTCACAATGAATGCTCGCGGTGGAATCGCTCGTCTGTGATACTTTGGAGCTTGAGCTCGCTGAGGCTGGTACTGCACCATTGAGGGTTGTTGATACATCAGTGGTAGTTGTTGAGGTTGATGGTACTGCTGGTACTAGGGCACTGGAGGATGCTGCTAATATGGTTGATCCACAATCATTTGTTACTACTATTGTTGAGGCTGAAAAATAGTTCTAGTTCACTTGACCTTTTCCTTGATGCTTATGAAATTGTCCTAAGTTTGACTCATGCCACTTACTCTTGTGATGAGACTTGGAATTATTTTCCTGGGAGATTATCGTTGTGGGTAAGCTTGAAATTTGAGGGTAAAATCCTCAGCTTTATGTTCAGTACTATAACAATTGAAGCATTTGCTGACAACCAAACTACAAGTCCTAGAATGTCATTTCCCGCAATGAGCGCGTCTAGGATTTTTTTTTCACTTCCGTGCCTAGTGATTTTGATGATGCTTCTTTTGGGAACTACCATTAGCTTGTGCATCTGAATTCTTCCGCTTCCCGACATGTTTTTCCTCACAAGCATTGATCTTCATTTCCACATAAATAGCTCGATTCACCAGTTCTCCGTAAGTCATGTACTTGGCCGCCGCTAAGCACCTCTCAATGTCCTCTCTCAAGCCAACCAGTAGGTGATAGATTTTATGATCTTCATTGAGGGTTGTTGATACATCAGTGGTAGTTGTTTAGGTTGATGGTACTGCTAGTACTATGGCGCTGGAGGATGCTGCTAATATGGTTTAGCCACCATTATTTGTTCTTTATGCTTATGAAATTGTCCTCAATTTGACTCATGCCACTTGCTCTTGTGATGAGACTTTGAATTATTTTCCTAGGAGATTATCGTCTGCAGCTAAGCTTGAACTTTGAGAGGAAAATCCTTAGCTTTATGTTCGACACTATAACAATTGAAGCATTTGCCAACAACCAAACTACAAGCTTGGAATGTCATTTCCTGCAATGAGCGCGTCCAAGATTTGTTTTGCACTTCTGTGCTTGGTGATTTTGATGATGCTTCTTTTGGGAACTACCGTTAGCTTGTGCATCTGAATTCTTCTGCTCCGGCATGTTTTTCCTCACAAACATTGATCTTCATCTCCACATAAATAACTCGATTCACCAGTTCTTCATAAGTCATGTACTTGACTGTTGATAAGCACCTCTGAATGTCCTCTCTCAAGCCAACAAGCAGGTGATAGATTTTCTAATCTTCATGGTGATTAATTGTTGCAATGAAATGGATGATCCTGACAAATTGCGTCTTATACTCCCGAACGGTTTTCGTCCTTTGCTTTAGCTTCCTCAAATCATTTATGAGCTCAGCCAAATTTACCATATGAAAATATTGTTATAGGAACAATCTTTTAAAATCTGCCTAAGATACTACCGCATTAAGTCCAAAAGTGTTGCAACAGTGACTTTCCCATTAATCATCAGCTTCTTCACACAAATGGAACATCACAATGTCCACCTTACGGTCTTTGGGATATTTTATTCCTTGAAGCCTCTTTTCGATATCATGGAGCCATGCATCAACCTTGATTTAATCCACCGTGCCATTCAAGGTAGGAGGATGTATCTTTAGAAACTGGTCTATCACTCAATCGTTACTCGTATTCACCATCGTCATCAAATGATTGGGTTGTGTTTCCATAGTAGAAACTAGTGGAACTTGTTGAATGGCTTGTATCATTGGTTGCACAACTTGCTAGATAGTTGGGACCGCCTGCAATTTGAGTTTCAAAGTTAGCTTCTAGTGCTTGGGTAACTTTTTTTGTTACCACCTCCAAGATAGTTGCTAAGTTGAAATTTTGTGCTCCAGTACTCTCGGTGGTTTGAACAAGATCAACACAATGAAGATTAGGGGAACAGAGACCCTTAGGAACATGTATCACATTTATAGTTGTTTTATGGACTCCTCTTCCAGGAGCAGCTGTAGTGTCTATTCCTTCCAGAGCCATTCTAAACAATTGAAAGCCACGAAAAATCAAAAGAAATTGAATACCGACTTACAAGAATAATCTATCCCCTACCAAATTCTAAGAAGTCAAAGGATATGATATGCAATGCCAAGGAAGGTTAAATATAAAACACAAACTCTGATAGCACTTGTCACACCTCATGATTGGAAGCGGCACACTCCGACAACGCAAAGCACGAGAAAATGATTTGAAATTATTTTGTATTTTTAAAGAATAGAAAAAATGGAAAAGTAACTTTTATTAATACTTAAAAATTATAAGATATAACTGGGCTGAAAATAAAAGCTAGTTGAGTCAAAATATAAATGATAGCATAGAACAACTACTCAAACTAAACAAAGGAAAAAATACAATAGCTAAAAAAAAAATACTAATGAAAATACCCAAAATTGGGAAAATAAACTGAAAAACTGGCTCATGTGAAACGGTCTCACTGGTGGCTGAATGAAAACTGTTATGTAAAAATTAAGAATGATTTTAATAAATTCAATAAATATTAACTATCTATTAAAGCATAAACGATAAGGGAATGAAACATGAAATATAAACAAGTAAGGAAAATCTTTGTGTGTGTATGTAATATTGTAAGACCAAGAAGAGGGGAAATGAACAATTATGCCTCCTATATGAAAACATGCAAGCATTTTCTACCAAGTTTCGTTTTATTATGTTTTCATTTATATTTATATAATCAGTTTTAACAGCCACCCAAATCTTTGAAAGGTGAAATATCAACTCAAGAAAACCCAATAATTTTTCGTAGAGTCGTTACTTTGTATGCTCGTCGACATAACTAGCCAAAATCTAAAAGGGTTCTAACGACTTGCACACCATCACACACAAACATGTCAAATTATTTTCAGATGTATAACTTGTTAAAGTTATAAAATACTATGCAGACTTGTGACATGCCATATGCAAATTCATACAAGTGCAGAGAATGAAAACATCATATTGCAAGATTAAATCAAATATGCATAAAAAATTTGCATGAATAAATTAGGATCGTTAGTCATCACGAACAAGTATGAATTGAAGTAATAAGGGCATGACTGGGGATCATATATAATAGCTATGAATCTACCACAATTAATAAGAATTCACACCCATAACTAGAAAGACATGTTTATTCTTCAAAAAACAATATTTACTTTCCTTGGGACGACACTTCAACAATTTGACGGTTCAACTAGCGAACCTATACAAGTTAGAAGTTTAGATTAATTATACATTTAAGCTTATTTATTGATTAGTGTATTCTAATAGACCTATAATAAATTAATATATATATATATATGTATATATAATAAAGCCTTATTATTATATTATTAAAAAAACATGAAATTATGAACTTAATTAATATTAATTAAAATAGTAATTTATTTTGATTTTATTTTGATTGTGAAAAATTGTAATATTTGAACTAATTTGTAAAATAAAAGTTACATAAGTAACACCTACCAAACAAACATTAAAGAAAAACAAACATTAACCGCAAATCCTGTTCATACTCTATTCCTCTTCTGTTAAATCTCGGGTTAGGAAAGCCGTGGGAGATGGATTCCGGGATTTAGCAGAGTTGATGTTCGCGAGAGGGAGGAAGGTAGGGGTTACCTTCTTCGATGTTTTTGGGTTGGAGCAAATGTGTAGAAACGGAGAGAAGGAGGTCCACACCGCCGCGATCCTGTCGTTGCCTTTCTAGCTAGCTCCACTCGCAAATGTGTAGCAAGTTTCGGTCGCTAAGTCGTCGGGAGCAGGGCGAAGGAGAGCCAGGCGAAGTTTTTGGGCAAAATCGGGAGTCGGCAGGCTTCGGTGGACAGAAGAGGCGAGAGAGGTGAGGTTTGTTTGATGCCTTAACCCGTGATCGACCTTCTCTAAATAGTCGCGGGAAGGCGGACCTCATCTCCGCCGCAACGCACACACTTCTATTGCGAAGTATCGTCTTGTCATTTACTCCTGTTAACAATCCTAATCTCTCTTTCCAAAATCTATACCTCAATGGAAGCTGGAGCTTCTCTCGCAACCACTACCTCCCTTCTATCATCACCTGCTTCGCTTTCTTCCGCCGCCAGCAACTATTGTTCAAGACGGGTTTCAATCCTTCCCGATCGTGCGTGGAACACTTTGGCTGTTCGAAGGATTACTCCGTTGAACTCTTGTTGCAAAGTGTCCATGTCGACGAGCATCAATACTTCTGGAATGGAGGTATCACTTGTTGCCCTTTTTTGTTTTTCAGAGCGCTTTAATGCTTATTAGGGTTTCCACTTGTAGCAGTTGTTGGCTTCTGAACGATGGAAAAAATACTTACTTTTGATGTCTTAATGGACATCACACATAAAGCCATGGAATAAAGGCATTTTCTCAATATAAGTTTGTGATGCAGCACAGGATTTAGAAATCAAGCTTAGCAGTGAGGCTGAAATCACAATGGATATGGACGATTGGCATACATACCTCTCAATTCCTATGTGTTTACATATTTAACACCAAAGTTTCCTTTTTTAGATGCATGCCACTTTGCCTATGCATGATAAGGTGTATTTCACTTTTTAAAGGTTAAATGGTGATATTTTGATGTGATATGAAAGATTTGGGTGGTGTAATGTTAGAAGTAAAGTTTAGGTGTTAGATATCCAAATACATAGGAATTTGTTGGCATGTTTATTTGTTTGAGTGCCATTTGGATGAAGCTCACAAAATTGAAGAACAATTATATAAAACCCAAGCACGAAGGCACAATAAAATCATGGATTTCACTTCATATATATTGCATGGCCGACAGCCTCTCTCAATTGGCATGTTTTAAAGTTTTAAAGTTATATAAAATCAGTCATAAATATGCTTCAATAAAAATTGATTGGTCCCTCCTTCAAAGCAATCAAGAAATCTCTAAATAATAATGACCACTCTTCTTCCTTGAACACATGATCAAAATGTATGTTTTGGAAGGAGAATTTTGAAAGTAATTCAATTATTTGGAAGTTCTTAAATCGTCTCAAATCGAGACCAAGCAAAGATTGCATTGTGTATTTCAATTAGAGTGGATAAAGGGAACTATAATGGCTGACCATGCATGCTTTATAAATGAGTTGTTATGAAGGGAATTTGGATGCACTTCTTATTAAAATTTTCTCATGTTTTTTTCCGAACTTATTGTGTTGTCCATACTCCTTAACTTCAATAAAAAGCCAACTCTGACCTCTTGCAAAACTCGTGGTTACAAGGCATTGATGTGTTACTAGATTTTGAATTGATTTATGAATTAACCATAATTAAGGGGCGAATTTGAATATTTCTCTTTCCCCTTCAAATTTATGCGATTACTTCTCCACCATCTTCCCAAGGTATCAAAGACAGTATTAGTATAATGAGTCTTCAAAATTAATCATGTGATAGGTCTTTACTTGTTCTATATCAAACCTCCTCCACTTGATGAATTTTGCTCCACATTGTTTGGTGTACGAGTAGCATTAGGTGCGTCTAGTTGCATAATATTTGTAGTTTTTGAAATTATTGATAAAGATAATAATCTTTAAATTTGATCTATATCGCTAATTAAATTTAACTAATATTCCCCTCACCAATATATTACCCATGCACTGACCATTTCGTAAAGAAACTCATAATTTCTTAATCGCACATTCAATTAATTTAAAATTTCTACTATTACATAGTACAAGGCATTGGTATGTTACTAGATTTTGAATTGATTTATGAATTAACCTTAGTTAAGGGGCGAATCTGAACATTTCTCTTTCCCCTTCAAATTTACGTGATTACTTCTCCATCATCTTCCCAAGATATCAAAGATAGTATTAGTATAATGAGTCTTTAAAATTAATCATGTGATAGGTATTTACTTGTTCTATATCAAAACCTCCTCTACTTGATGAATTTTTCTCCACATTGTTCGGTGTATGAGCAGTATTAGGTGTGTCTAGTTGCATAATATTTGTAGTTGTTGAAATTATTGATAAAGATAGTAATCTTTAAATTTGATCTATATCGCTAATTAAATTTAACTCATATTCCCCTCACCAATATATTACTCATGCACCGACCATTTCGTAAATAAACTCATAATTTCTTAATCACACATTCAATTAATTTAAAATTTATACAATTACATAGTTAAAATTCAATACTTCAGATATGAAGCTCTCCGTAAATTTCTACAAAAGAAAACGTAGTCATCTGTTACCGTAAAATTTTGTTTGAAAACGTATCTCAAAACTTTAAAATTAGTTGCTAATTTTCTTATTATTTCTCCAACCCCTAAACCTTTCAACACCACTCCAACAACCCTTACAAGCGCATGAAAACTTTGATATCATGCAGTGTGCATTGTGTTTACATTTTATTTTTTTTGGAGTTTATCTGCCTTTTTGGCTTCATATTTACTATTTTTTCAAGAAAAATAGCTTCCCTTCGTTTGTTTTTGTGATTGTTAAAATATTAGCATTGCTGTTTTATCTCAACTTTTCCTGTTCATTCAAATGAATTATAGGCCTTTGCAACATCTCTAGGAGTGAGCTGAGAGCAACATTAAAGCCGTTTCTTCAAGTTTTTTCATTTCTGGAATGAAAATATTGTATTTTTTATGACGTATATGAAGTATCTTGCATGTTTTGTATTGTTGATAGAGGTGAGCATCATCTTTTTAATATTGATTAGTACATATTTATATTTTTAGGTCAAGTTTCATTCAATTCATTTTTGTTGCACCAGATAAGGCAGAGTTTCAAGGAAGAGTTTCATGACTCCGGAGACTTTAGCATTATGGCTTTGTCACCTTTAGATGGACGCTACGTACAAAAGACCAAGAGTTTACGTCCGTTCTTTAGCGAGTATGGGCTGATTCGTTTCCGAATTATGGTTGAGGTAGAATTATTGATATGGGTCACGGCACCAATCAGAAGAAATTGTCGATGCAATTGCTTTTGTTTAGCATGCCAATGTATTTTATTTTTGGGGCATTTACATGCATACCAGCCAATTCCTTTATATTTACAAATCCCACACCTAAACTATGCTTTTTTACATTTATACCACCTATGTTCAAATCACATAAAAAATATCGTCATTTAACTTTCAGAAAGTGAAATGCACCTTTTCATGCGTAGGCAAGGTGGTTTGTTTATAAAAACTGACCTTTTAGTGTTGGATATGTAAATAGGTAGGAATTGAGAGCGATATGTATGTAAATATTCCTTTATTTTTTTCATTAAAGCCTGTTGTCTAACGAATTTTTTTCTCTAAACATATACTTTTCTTATCATTATCAGATCAAGTGGCTATTAAAACTTTCAGAAATTCCTGAGATTGAAGAGGTCCCAAACTTAAGCGAGGGTGCCCGGTTTTTTTTGAAAGATTTAATTGATAATTTCTCCATAAAAGATGCCTTAGAAGTGAAAAAGATTGAGGCGAAAACTAACCATGATGTTAAGGCAGTAGAGTATCTTCTGAAGCAAAAATGTGGAGCCTGTCCTGAGGTTGGTGAGGTAAATATTGTAGTCTTTTTTTACTTTCCCTGTTTCACTTGATATTTTGGTCTAAAATAAATTGAATGCTTATATTAGTTGCTGGCACTTCATAATTTTCGAATCACTTCTTTGTCTCAGGTACTAGAATTTTTTCATTTTGCATGCACATCCGAGGATATAAACAACTTGGCTTATGCAGTTTCACTCAAAGAGGCGCTTAATAGTGTCGTACTTCCCGTAATGATCGAGCTATGTAAGGCAATATCTAAATTGGCTAAGGAGAATGCAAACATACCAATGTTGTCTCGTACTCATGGACAGGTATATGAGCCACTTTTTTTATCCAAAATTGCCGAACTATGTGCAACCGAAGTGAAAATCTTGTCGTCGTTTTTTACAATGGTGGTATTGCTAGAGTTTGACGTTCTTTGAAAATATTGGAATCACAAGAATTCAATAGAATATCACCTTACTAGTTGAAATTTGGGCATTTACATACATACCACACAATTTCTATGTATTTACATAACTAGCACCTAAACTATGCTTTCATATCACATCAAATTTATCACTGTTTTAACTTTTAAAAAGTGAAATATGCCTTTTAATGTCTAGATAAGGTGGTAATTTGGTATACATTTAATAATTGAAGTTTAGGTGTTAGATATGTAAATACATAGGAATTGAGTGTTATGTATGTAAATCTTCCGTAAATTTTTTAACCAGTCAAACCCTTCAACGATTGAAAAATAGGAACTTATGTGATGCATTGGGATGAAATTTGGGTATGTGCTGATTTGGTGTTGAAAATTTGGGTGACTATATTGTTACTCAAATTGTAAAATGAGGAGCATTGACTAGATTCAGCGAGTTTAAATTTTTGATAAAATAAAAATTGGGGAAATCTAGAGGATACAATGTATTAGAATAATTCATTTATATAATTCCATAGTTTGCATATTTAATTATTATTTTTATCAATTGTTGAATTTTTGTTCTCTTGCATATTTCCGGTTCATGATTGTGGCTTCCACGCCGTTTCTTGCATGTTGTGTTATTAAGATCATGAACACTTTAAAATTTATACTTGATTCAATATTGCATGAGAGATGTCACTTGAATGATTGGTTGAATGGTCAAGCCTCATGAAGTTGAAACTCGAGTGAAGCATTGTCAGCATCTCTACTTTAAAATCCTCAACTAACATTTTCTTCATAGTAGAGTGTTTACAGCATGGCCTTATCTAATAAACATTAACATTGTTTCATCTTGCTAGTTGTGGAAGTGCATGGTTTTTTGTGGTTGCATTTATGGAAAAACTACTTGGGTCTTACAATATTTGATGTATAACTTTCTTGTTGCATGCTTGCATAGATTTATGTGTGTGTGTTGTGCACGCATGCACACATTGGTTTTTGAATGATGGTTGCTAAATGATGTGGTGGGGCACATGCATGCAGATTGAAGGCTGACCATCAGCGGAGTTATAAATCTTTGGCTTATGATGTATAAATACTTCAAATTTAATGAGTTATGTAGTGTCTGACACATGATGGATCTATCAAACAATTTCATAAATACCTGTCTTACATGCGCACAATCATCATTTACCCAATTATATAAATATAAAAGATAAATGAACACTCATGTATTAAATAATTCAATTAAAATATTCTAAACATAATTTTAAATATAAATCTTTATTTTTACTTGTTAGTTTTTCCCCCCATTTACCTCTCCTGCTCTATTTTGCAAGTGTCACCACCCGAGCCTCCTTTTGTTGCATGCATCTAGGGGTGGGTCGTGATTGCTCGATCAATCAAAGGTAGCTACCAATGTGCGTCCTCAAGGCCTAAACCCGATTTCCTCTATCCTCTTGATGCCAAGGTTTGATGTCAAAACTCAATGACCGACACCCTCTTTCCTTTTTTTGTCAAAGTCGAACCACAAAGCCCAACGACCGACATCCTCTCCTCTGATTATTGTAGCTCGAGCACACGTTTACAATGAGTCTTGAGCACCTCTTTGTAATTTACCTATAATATTAGACATCTAATGTTTGTTATATTTTGATTAATCAAACCAACTTTAATATTGATTTTAGCAAAATGGTAAAATAAGTAGTGTATAAGAAAATATTGATTGAAATATTAATTTTATCATTTTTTTATTGCTTTTAATATTCTATTTATTTTGTTTAGGAATTTTTAAATTTTTTTAAGATATAAAAGTTATAGCATTGTGTTAGTGCTTGTCTATATTCTATATTTTCAATAGTAAACATTTTCTGTGTCTGTGAAGTGTTGTCTTGCGCTGGTGTAGTGTACTATCAATGTCCGTGCATGAATGGCTTTGGCTCATCCTGCTTTATTTGCTATTTGCGTCATTATTTTTAGTGGATATATTTATACAGTTTTTGTTAATCTTTATTTTTTTTAGTTCCGTCACACTTTTTTTTTTTTTTTTTTTTTAAAAATTCTAAACTTATGGACATTGTTTGCATTCTTGTGAGTGATTTAGTCATCAGGTAGCGTAAAGCCTATTCTATAAATAGCAAGCCTGGGGTTATAAATGATTGTTAATTATTATTTAATGCAAATGATTGCTTACATGGATTGTTTGACTTCCTTCACCCTCCTAAATCTAAATAGCAAGCCTATTCTATCCCCTTTTATCATCTCCTAAATCTCTTTTATTCCTACTTCTAAAGACTAACAGTAAACTCTAGCATATTTTCTACAGTACAGAAAGGTCTTGTTTCTCATAAAAAAATGATTTTTTGCACTCTTCTTTTTGTTGGAAATATCCCTTATCGTTCCCCTAAAATTGTCACTTCCTAACCTACTTTTTGCCCCCACAAGATTACGCTGAAATCTATCCTCAAATAGCGAAAACCCCATGCTGAAGTCCAGCCAAAAATATATAAAAATCTGCATTACAGGAGTATAAAAATGCAAGCTTTTCACCATGTCATTGCATTCCCTATAGCCTTCTCAATATAATTAGCTTTAAGTTTACGACCCTTGCTCCAAAACCTAACTCAGAACTTCAGCTCATTCTTGCATTGCACTCGTTGCTTAAACAACTTTCGGCATTGAAGCATTATCAAGTATGAACTATTGCATGTTAGTAAGCTGAGAGGCGTCATTTTGGCTTCCATTGACATGGCAGTTTGTACTTGAATTTTTCATTTTAGTTCACATTTATTTGATCTTTTTGCTATTTATGTCAATTTCTTTTTTGCAGCCAGCTTCACCAACTACATTAGGGAAGGAAATGGCAAACTTTGCTGTCAGATTAAGCAACCAAGGGAAAATAGTTTCTGGAGTTCGTATATTAGGGAAGTTTGCTGGAGCTGTTGGAAATTACAATGCCCATAAAGTTGCTTATCCCAACATTAACTGGCCAACTATAGCAGAAGAGTTTGTAACATCTTTGGGGGTCGGATTCAACCCTTATGTGACGCAGGCATGATCTTCAACACTTAAAGATATCTATATTTTTCCGTATCTCTCTCTCTCTGATTATATTAATTACAATCATACTATTTATTATGCTTAACACATTAATACATATAGATCAAGTCTGTTGATATTTGCAATGTTGATGATGCTAGAAATGTTCCAAGCTGGCCCTTATGGAAGTTGTAGAGATTTTAAAAAAACTAGGGCTGATAACATGCTTTTAAAAACTTAGGTGTAGAATATCTATGAGTACCGATACATCTATCATATTCTAGTTTTATTAATAAGAAGTTCATAGGAAGGTACTTAATGAACAAATTATTGTTACCCATATTTTTGGGATTTAATTTGGTAGCGTATCTTTTTCTTATGTGTTTGTGTGCTAATTCCATCACCGCACAAGTCTTAGGATTCACCACGGATAAGTGTTGCTGTTAATCAAAGCATTTACCTTTATAAAAGTGTCAAAATGGTCTTTGACTCTTTTCAGGAGGTCATTTTATTCCCATTGTTTATAAATGTGTCGATTTAGTCCACACACTCATTTAATATGGGTTGAAATAGTCTCTAATGAGGAATATTTTAGCCCCCATTAAAACATTCTTCAAACTAATTTAACATTTTTATAAACTCTGAAACTAAAATGATCCCATGTAAATAGTCAGGGGACTATTTCGACACAACTTATTTTTTTTTACGCGCGAACTTCTGTTATCGCTTTAATTTTTAAAACACCCAATTCTAGCTGCAGTTTTTTTTATTCTTTTCATTCTTTTTTGCAGATTGAGCCTCATGACTACATTGCGAATTTGTTCAATGCTATTGTCCTATTCAACAACATCTTAATTGATTTCAATAGAGATATTTGGAGCTACATATCATTAGGTTATTTCAAGCAGGTATGCTTTTTAAATAAACACAAATTTTTATTTCCTTGTAATAATAAAATCTAAAATTTGTGTATGAAGGTTCATTCTTCTTCTTTTAATACAATTTTTCTGCAGATAGCTAAGCCTGGGGAGGTTGGTTCTTCCACCATGCCTCACAAGGTTAATCCTATTGATTTTGAAAACAGTGAGGGCAATTTGTGCTTAGCAAATGCTGTCTTATCTGCTCTTGCCATGAAGTTGCCCATTTCGCGCATGCAGGTAATTTTTGATCCTTTATGGAATCTCACATAATCTCAACATTTTGAAGGCTTCATACGATTCTTTGATGTTTCTTGACAATTAATATTTTATTTTTGTGGCATTTTCATACCACTCAATTCCTAAGAATTTACATGTATAACACCTAAATTTTCATTTGTACATTTATACCAACTAAATTATTCATATCACATAAAAAGTATCGCCATTTTAACCTTTAGGAAGTAAAGTATACCTTTTCATGCTTGGCTAAGGGGTATGTATGTAAAAGTTGAAGTCACAGAATTTTTATGTGTTTACATATGACACATTAAGTTTTTATTTTTACATACAGAGCACTCAACTCTTTAATATCACACTAAACATATCACTATTATTAACTTTTTAAAGTGAAATACATCTTTTCATACATAGATTTATGATACTAAAGTGTTATAAATATAAATATCAAACTTTAGACAATTTAGATATGTAAATGCATAGGGACTTTGTGTTATATATGTATTTCTTCCCTTTTTTTTTAATACTTTAAATGGAGTTTTGACTGACAACCGAGTGCTGAATTTCTAATATGGAATTGTTTGACAGAGGGACCTAACTGATTCCACTGTTTTGAGAAATATGGGAGTTGGTTTAGGTCATTCTCTCCTGGCTTATTCAAGCACTTTACATGGGATTGGGAAACTTCAGGTAAGCAATATGATTCAGTTTTCATTGGCTATGAACAATTTGTCTCTTTTTTGAAACAGAGAAAATGTCAAAATAATCCCCAAACTTTTTGCATGGGGTCATTTTAGCCCCAGAGTCTACATGAAGTCTCAATTTACTATCTAGACTCTTTTAATATGGGCTGAAATAGTCCCCACGAAAGACTAAGCCGGAATTTAAAGAATTTGTAGGGACTAATTTGATACTTTTATAAATATTAAGACTAAAATGACCCAAGTAAACAATCGGGAGACTATTTTGACACTCTACTCTTTCGAAACATGAGTAAAAAATATACAGTTCTTAGGTAAAGTTGAGCACATAGTTTTTCTTAGCTTTTTCTTTTTGGAACTCTCTATCTTTAGTTTCACTGCAGACATCTTACCCAATGACACATTTTTTTTACGTTTAATCTGGTCTTACATTCTTTACAAGTCTATCTTCTATTACAGATTATATTTCCTTGGCTCCGTGTTTATTTTGTTTAATATTTTTATTAATCTAGATATAATTAGTACTTTTGAAGATTATATTACCTTCATTGCAGTGTTATACACCTTGAAAGCAAAGATTAGTCCCATTAAAAATTTAATTTTTACATGTTTTTTGTTAGATTTCTCTTATCATCTTCACTGGATATTGTGCTTTTTCTAAGTTATATTTTTCACTGAGATAAGTAAATTATCTAAAAAGACCCAATTAGGTAATTTTTTCTTTTCGACAGGTTAATGAATCTCGTCTTAATGAGGACTTGGAGCTCACTTGGGAAGTACTTGCAGAACCGATACAAACCGTAAGGATATTATTTCAATCTAGGAAGATTTACATACACACCACTTATTTCCTATATATTTACGTATCTATCACCTAAACTTCAATTTTTACATATATATGCCACCTTACCTATGGTCCTATGCATGCATGAAAATGTGTATTTCACTTTTGAAGTTAAATAGTGTATTTTTGATCTGATATGAAGGGTTTGGGCGGTATAAATATAAAAAAAATTAAGTTTTGATGTTAGATATGTATACACATAAGAACTTGTTGGTATGCATGTAAATGCCCCTTCAATCTAATATATGGATGAGTTTATCAAAATTAGATTCTAAAGATAAATATCTTTTGCAAAATAATATTTAATAAAAAAAATTATTTGCACTATCAATGTTATAAGTTTTGTTTGGGCCGACTACAGCTGCTTGTAAATTTATTTTTTGAAAGCTATTACAGAAGTTGTATACTTTTCCCTTCTGAAAAAGCTGGACAATAACTTTCTCAAATTTATCATCATAGTCTAGCTGAGTTGGCTGTAAAAATAGAAGTTTCTTCTCTATAAAAAATTCTGAAAATAAGAAGAAAGCTACAAACAAATAGAATTTGCGCCATTTGGTTGAAAGGCTAAGTAGAGAAGAAATTGTCAATGTTTATAAAATTTGTTTGGGGCTCTTACAACTGTTTAGAATTTTTTTTTATGCTATTGTGGATATTATAGGTTTTTTTTTTTTTTGAGCTAACAATTTTCTTACTGCTGCCATGTTCTAGGAGAACTAATTGTAAAAAATATTTCTCCACATAAATTTCTGAAAAGTAACAAATAAGGCTGCACTCAAATTGAATTACGTTATTTGCTTAAAAGGCAAATTTGTGAAAAAAATTATCCTAAACAGACCGAAAAAAATTATCCTAAACAGACCCTATGTTGGATCTTGATTTGTCTATGAATCACATCTAAGAAATAGAGTGTAAGACAAGAGAGAGAGACACACAGTAATGAACCGTAATTTGAATTGTTGATTGGCTTTTTCTGAGGAAATGCTCATTTTATTTTTAAAGGAGGGGATACAATATGTGAAGCTACATATTTGCGCCTACTTAAATGGGGCAGTACATAATATTTTGGGTGTTTTACATATAATGTTTTGATTACAGGTGATGCGTAGATATGGTATCCCTGAACCATATGAGAAACTGAAGGATTTCACAAGAGGAAGGGCTATCACCAAAAATAGTATAAGAGATTTTATAAAGGATTTAGATTTGCCTGAGAAGGCTAAATCAGAGCTGCTGGAGCTCACTCCTCGGTCTTACATAGGAGAAGCAGAGCAATTGGCACAAGTCGTGGATCATGCAATTCATTTGGTGAGTGGATTCAGATTACAGTAAAAACTTAAAAAGTTTTTCATTGAGAAATTCTTGCAAATTTGCAATTAATAATTACTATAATAATAAATTTTCAGTGTCTTTTTTTTCTATGTTTTATGTATAATGTTTCATAGAGAAAAATGATTCATGTAGCCAACCCCACTTACTGGGATGAAGGTTTTGTTGTTGTTGTTGCAAGTATAATGTTTTGATACTTGGCTGGTAATTATAAGGATTTGTATTTTTTTATGTTATGGAGTGAATTTTACGAGCATGTTATGCAATTTGATAAGATTTTCAGCTATTTTGTTAAGAATGAAACGGAAATTTACATAAACACCGCATACCTTTGCATTCATATATCAAATACTGAAAGTTTGATATTTACATTTATAACACTTTGGTGTCATAAACCTACGCATTAGAGGGTGCATTTCAATTATGAAAGTTATGATGGTGTTGTTGACGTAATATTAAAAATTTGAACATTGTGCATGTGAATATGAAAGTTGAAGTGTTAGATATCTAAATAGATAAGAATTGTGTGGTATGTATGTAAATGCCCCAAAATACAAATTTAGAAGGTGCATCCTTTGTTTTTAATATAATATATGCATGTTGCTGACCTTATTCGTGTGAAGTCCAGGAGTTATGATGAGAATATTATTACGTGCAGCTGACCGCTCGTTCGGACAACGGTCCGGATTTGGCCATGCCACCGTGTATCGCAAGGCGGGCCATTCGGGCCATCATCCGGATGTGCAGTCTCTACTCTTAAGCTACCAAAGACTACAATAATAAATATAACATGTTAAGCACTTTGGGATTCATTGAGATTTTTGACCTTACATTTGTGTTGGGACTTTAAAGCCCATTAAGTCATTTAAGTTTCCACCAGGCGAGTTAAATATCTAACCAAAACATAAGCTCGACTCGAAAAATTTGTTTGGGTCCAACACATTTTATTTTTTGAGTTGGGTTCAGATTTGCCCCCACTTTAATTTGACCCTAAATTGACTTTGAATTATCTCAAGTTTTACCCAAATAATTATTATGCAGATGTTAAATGGATTATGCTAGTCTGGCTTGAGTTGGTTAGGTTGAAGATCGGGTTAAATTTTCTAATTCATTTAATATTCAGGTTAGATTTGTGTCAAACCTAAACCCAATTTGACGCACCTAACTACAATTCTAAACTTAAAATAATGTAATAATATTTACAAAGTTGGATGGATAAATTAACTTCTTAGAAAATTATGATGAGAATTATAAATGAGTGCTAGAAAATTTGAGGTGGTAGAATAATGAATTATTATTTTAGCGTGCACAAGAATTCACCACACTCAAATAAAATGAACAATTAGTAATTATAACATAAGTTTTTACGTGAAAAACTTAGAAAAGGAAAAAAATCTCGAGGTCTAGCCCAACTGAAGAAATGTACTATAAACTGGATATTAGATGGAGTACCTCGTCTCATAGGTGAGAAATGGTTGAACACCCTTCGGAGTTATAATGTCGGTGAAACTTATTGTAAGAAGTGGGTGACGACCAACGGGAGATGGTTGGCGGTGGTCGGTGGCCAGCAGTGACTGAAGTCAGTCAGCGATGAGGTGATGTTGGACTTCAGTTCCACTAAGCTTCAAGCTTTTCTTTAAGTTTCAAGCTCCCCTCCCACCCGTGACGGAGTAAAGTAGTTCTATTTATAGTGTTTTGAGTACAATTAATGCAGAAATATGAACCACTTTGATCAGATAGCACTTTGATCAGATGATAGTTTGAAGAGCTTTATTCAATTAGATGACGTTTGATGAATAATTGTGTGCCTTAACGATGTTAGAATTGAGTGAGCTTGGGTTCGTTGAATTCGTCTCGTCGAGACGCTTGATTCAATTATAAACTCATCAGATTCTACATTCTTCTGACCTTTTAATGGCGTTGCAACCACCAACAGTTAAAAAATGTTTTAGCGTTGTTTTAGGTGTTGCACGAAAATGATAAAAAGTTTTAATTTATAAGTAAAGCCTCGTAGTCACCTGAATTTTGACCCAGCAACCACCAACAGTTGATTAATGCGTCAAGATAGCGATGAGAATCGCAAAAGGCACTCCAAGGTTAATAACGCAATTTGAGAATTAATGCAGAAGCTAAACGGAAACCTAGCTCATAAATTCAGAGATTTTTCTCAAGCTAGAAAACAAACTAGAAATCCACCCAAATCACCACCCAGTTGTCGGGCTCCTCAAATAAATATTAACCCCACTCCCGCACCCAAGTTGATTACTTCACTTTTCTTATAATTCCGACGGCGGTGGAGCGGCCGAGAAAGGTGAGAATTAGGGTTAGGGTTTCGAGAAACACTAATCGTTGCTTACCTCTGGTATCAATGGATCACTCTGTTAAGCGGTCGATTCCGGAGGAGGGCTCTCCGGATGAGGCGGATCCGATCTTCCCTTACGGCAGCGACGGTTTGTGCTGCTGCTTCGCCCCTATGTATTTGCGGAGAAACTCAATCTCCACGCCGCCGGAGTGGTGGGGACGGATTCCGGCCGGCGGCGGCGGGGCGGAGTTAGTTCCGGGTGGTGGAACCGGGGGGTCGGGGCACTGATGAAGATCCGTGAGTGGTCCGAACTGGTCGCCGGACCGCGTTGGAAGACCTTCATCCGGAGATTCAATCGGAACCCTAGATGTTCGAGAATAGCGCAGAAATTTCAGTACGATCCCTTCAGCTACGCACTGAACTTCGACGACGGATTCGGTGGATCGGAGAGTCCCGACAACGAGTCTAGATTGGGCGAACTCTCCTCCTCCTCCTCCAGGTACGCCATAACGCCGCCGGCGAAGCCGAGGATGGAGATTCGAGCTTCGCCGGATATCACAGTTGACCGCCCACGTGCACTGATCGGCCCTGGATAAATATGCAGGCTGTTGTTGGATTGGCACTTATTAATTGTGAACTCTTTGTATTGAAGATCTTAGTTTTTTTTTTTTTTTTTTTGAATTTTTTTTTTTTTTTTGTTTAATAAATTGTCAAAAAAAAAAAAGAAATTTTTTTTGAACTACTGAATTGATAAGTGCTATGTTATTTTGGTATTTGAGTGAAAATTTGAAAAATAGATGAAAGATGGTGCTAGATTTGTAAATAAGATTATTTTTAGTGCTATGTCTGTAATTTTCCGTCCATAGAGAAATGTAAATACTAATAATATAGCCTTGATACAGATTTAAACTAGTACTGATGATTGGCTATCAAATGAAAGGTGTAGTTGGGTCCTTTTAGAGGTTTCTGTCGTGTGTATAGTTATTAACGGTCTGATTTAAAGTTGAGTTGGGATCGTTTCAAAATCAAATTGAGCTGGCTCAAATGAGTTTTTTGGATCCTTTCCAGCTTGCAATCGGTTCGATTCGGCTTGAAATTAAAATGAGCTGGCTCAAATGAGCTATTTGGATCAGGTCCAGTTTTAAATTGGCTTAATTAGGCTCGAAATTGAAACTAGCTGGCTCAAATGAGCTATATGGTTCCGTTTCAGCTCAAAATCGGCTCTATCCGGCTCGAAAATGAAACGAGCTGACTCAAATGATTATTTTGATCTGTCTTGGTTCAAAGTAGGCTCTATCCAACTCGAAATTGTTGCATTATTTCGATCAGTTTCAACTTTAAATTGGTTTTTAGCATTATATGTATACTTTTTATAAATAATAGAAATACTTTGAGTTGATCTAGAGTCAGTTGGCCCTTCAATGTACCAAAAAAAATTGATGGCAAGCTTCGGTTTATCGTTCGGCTCATTTGTTTCAATCCGAGTTAAATTCAAATTAACGTTCGATCGATTATTAACACCTATATACTCAATTACTAAAATTTGATATTTATATTTATAACACCAACATGTTAAAATTTGAGTGCTATGCATTAGATATGTAAATATATAAAAATTGTGTGGCATGCTTATAAATCCCCCTTTAATAATAAATTTAGCAAATTTTATATGTTTTGAAAAGCAAGATTTATAATTTTGGGCTGCAATATAAAATGAGCTATTTGGATTTTTTTACATGTAAAAAAATTAAACATTAAAAATATAAAAAATTAAAATTTTAATATTAGATATATAAATATATAAAATTGGTTGATCATATTCACCCCAAAATTTTTAATGAAAGTTGAAAATTCTCATATTTTTCTGCAGCGACACTTACATACATATCACAACAATCTTATATATTTACATATATAACATTAAATATTTTATATTTATATCTATAGCATTTAAAATTTTTATATCTTATTAAAACTATAAATATAAAATTATAGATGGTTGTCGTGTAAATACATAAGTGATAATTGCAAATACATAAGTGATAATTGCGATTAAATTTTCCATTTTTTTTTATTAAAATCAAATCTTAACTTGATTTTTTGTGGCTTAATTGAGGAAAAGTATTACATCAGGACTCTGCACGTAGAGTTACGTGCGGAGTCCAACGAAATCACGTCACACGTAGAGAAAAAAAATTGGCACGGTAACGCAGATGAATATTCCCCTCCGTGTTATTTATGTGTTATTGTATATTATTCAAGTGTTATTTATGTGTTATTGTGTTATTATAATACCAGAAATATTCTCAGAACACAATAACACATGAATAATACATAATAACACCTGAATAACACGAGCGTAATATTTCCCTATGATATTATGTTCTATGATTTTATTAGATTCTGCACGTAACTCTACGTACATAGTCTTGATGTAACGTTTTTTTCTTAATTGAGAGCACAACAAATAGGTGTGCAGATCTTATTAAAATAGTAATATTATGTAAGCTGGAAATATATTATTTTTTTATAATGCCACATGTTTATCATCTCCTATCCAAATTTTTTTTATTTGTTAGGATTAATAATTGATAGAAAATAAATAATATTTTTAAAGATTAGACTCTCATCGATCTCAAAAAAAAAAAAAAAAAAAAAAAGGAGCCGGCTGCTTGAATCATTAAAACTGGCCAAATTGATAGTGAAAAATAAAAAATAATTATTTTATAAGCATAAAAATATTAGAAATGATGACAGACACCCAACCTAAATAATTGAAGAATTATTAATTGCACCAGGGCTATTTTGCATACTTACCAACATAGCATATGATTCTTATGTATTTATGTATATGAATATATTATATTTATTTATTATTGTAAGGTTATATGAATATATTATATTTGTTCTTATAATATAACATAATCATTGAGAATATTTCACTTATATCATATTTTTTAACCTTTCCATCAATATTTGCAAAAAAAAAAAAAAAAAAATGTAAAAATGATACTATTATGCATAATATACATGATATATGATACAAACTTCCATTAAAATCAAAGAAATGACAGTGCAGTGTACAAAAATGACTTCAATGGCAGCAAAACCCTAAAACAATATAGCATATTTAAAAAGTAGCTGATCAAAGCATTATATCATTCAATTCCTATGCATTTACATATCTAACAGCTAAATTTCAATTTTTACATACATACCGCGACCTTTCCATGTAAATGTGCATTTCACTTTTTAAAAGCTAAAATGGTGGCATTATGTATGTGATATGAAAGATTTGGGTGATACAAATATAAAAATAAAATAAAATTTAGGAGATGGATATGTAAATATATAGGAATTGAATGGAATCTAAAACCTCAAAGAGGGTCTTCCTTTGCTCCTCTTCTTCTTCTATGAGTCTTAGAATCCTTAATACTGAGTAAAACATCCCAAATAATCCATGGAAAGCTAAGAAACCTTTTTGAGGACCAATACTTTGGATGGCAGGTAATGTGATACCAAGCCGAAGCCATTTTCAACGACTCGCTTTCGCGGCAGCCGCCAAACCAACTCCTAACCTCGTGATGCAAACTCTTCACCGCAATCATAATCCGATCGGCAATATCCCCAAATTTCTTCTTATCTCTCAACACATAGGCCGAGTCGGTGCTTCGCACGAAGCCCGTAAGTATCTCATCTTCATGCTCGGCGCCGAAATAGTTCATCAAAAAGCTCAACTTTTCGGCGTACCGGTCGTAGTAATCTTCAGCCGGTTTTAAGAACATTTCAAAACCTTCGGCTTCGAGATCGGTGTCATATGAAGCAGCGGCGAGTTCTTCGGACCAGACGGTATCGGAAGTTTGCAGATTTTGATGAGTTGTGGCGGCCCTATAGAGTTTTCCTAAAACACCTTTGGAGGTACAGGTGGATCGGTCCAATCTCTCCATGAAATCAGGAAATTGTTTCGGTCTTAGGATTCGGGGCATCTCGGCCGGGACTCCGGTTTTGGCGAAATCGACGGCCATGGAGTGAAGGTTTGCCAGCTGAAGGCATTTGGGGCTTCGAGCTTTGAGGGGTTCGGAGTTGGCGTAGACGAGATGAGCGGTTGAGATGGCGCCGAGGTTGTCGTTGATCATGTAATCAACAAAGAATTTATGGATTTCCTGTTGTTTTACATGGGAGATTAAATCAATCAAACAAGAGGATAAGTCCATAATTCTAAGAATGAAGAGAAAAGTTTAAAATTCTAGAGGACTTTTAGTTGTTATGATAATGAAATGGCAAGAGATGGCAAGAAGGCACATAGATGACTGGGAAGTAAAGAGAAAAATGAAGGACAAATTTACATAAATACAGCCCAATTCCTATGTATTTACATATCTAACAACTAAACTTTATTTTTTACATCTATACCACCAACATTTTTAATATCATATAATTTGCAGGTTAGAAGAGAGACGTGGCCATCAGACATAATTTGCAGCCTTGTAAGTCCTTCAAAACTTAAACAGTGTTTGGCTAGAACGTAAAATTGCTGCTAACCAATTGACATTGTTAGAAGTGGACAAAATCACTGAAGTTGACTGGTGAGAAACTACAATACAAACATGTTAGAAATTGATAAAATCATAAAAGAATCAACAGGAATTGCGTTCTGTGATCAGAGGAAGCCAGAAACCTTATCCGACTTCACAAAAAAATTGACATTCTTCTACAGACATCTTTAACAAACCTTTACAAGAAGCTGTAAACTTCAAGCATGAAGCAAAAAACATAAATTTTGGATTTTGGAATTAAAATTGGGAGCAAGTAAAAAACTAATGCATTTCAGGAGAGATTTAGTAGAGCACACCTCCAATCTTACTTCATGATCCTGAAGACGTGGCCGAAGTCCAATGTAGTCCATTGGTGGATCAGTCTGCGGCGGAACAAGTCTTTCATCCCAAGATATAAAATACAAGTCCCCATCTAAATCTCCACCAGAGCACTCATTTGGATGTGGCCTAAGAAAAATGAAAATCCAACACTACAAAGAGGTCGCATAAGATATAAACTAGTATAAATTCATTTCTTATCAAATGCAAAACATATTGAGATGATGAGAAAATTTTCTCACGAACCTTGAATGCAAATTCAAAATCTAATAAATGGAGTTGCTTCATGTATAATACATGCATTACTAAAACTCAACCTAACATCTACATATATCCTACCAACAGACAAATATCATCCACATAACTTCTATAACTCTGTTACCGACCAACTCAAGGAAATATATAAGAACATGATTGCATGATTTTGAAGGGGCATTTTTCCATTCTCCCTCATCGAACCACCGATGGAGGCATGGGTAGAAGAGGCGGTTGGCGAGGTGATAGGTATAAATAGTTATCTTGAGCAACATTATGCAACAAAATTTCTCTATTAGGCATTGGCAACGAACACTAAAAGGATAAAGGAGACAGTTCGGGGAAAGAGGCTTTCAAAAGAGGAAATTTGTGGCATTAAAGAAGCTAGCAGCAGATAAGATGATCTTGCATGAGGTGTGAGATTTTCCTCAATCTCCGGTGAGCATAACAAATGGAGGAAATGTGGTTTAGTTTGGAAATGTAATAAGAAAGTGGGGAAAAAATACTAGTAAGATAAAAGTGAGAAATAGTTATTTGAGAAAATATATACATATTTCTAAACAAGTAGATCATATATCTCTACACAACTATGGATGCACATGAATCTAACCAAACCACGTCAATATCTTCGGTCTTTTTTTTGGTGTTCCCCTTGCCTAACATAATCATTGCTCTCAAGAGTGAGCGGTTTATACTTGACAATTCATATCAAAGTTGCGCTTGTTTTAGAGTCTATCGTAACAAGAAACCAATGACACACTAAAATAGGAAGTTGATGATCAATAACAAGTTCAATAAAAAAAACTTTAGCAACTAGAAAATGCAAAGCAAGGATTATTATGGCACGAAAAATAACATCTATCTTTAGGTCAAAGATAGCAACTATAAGCCATTAAACTTTGGATCTCCATAACATACATGCATTAGGAGCTGTACACTAACTACTGACAAAGAAACTCGCCTTCCATATAGTGCACATGAGGATCATAATTAGCTTGATGAAAGCCTTATCAGACGTGTGAAAGAAGCCTTTTGAAACAAATAATGTGGATTAAATTTTCTTTTAATATCAAAATGAGTAAAGATATTTTGATAATAGCAAATATCAATGAGTTTAATTTGATCACAAGTCGACTAAGCTTGATTGATATTAACTTTGATGGTAAATTTCATGGATTGAACTTATATTCATTACTAAAATGGAGACGGGCTAGAATTATAATAGTCATTAACAATTCATACGAGTCTATGAAATTGAAGTTCAATAATGTCCATAACTTGATTTAAAATATGGACATCAAGAGATAAGAATTATGTGAAGGTTCTTTTTATGTTGCTCTAAATCTTGAGAGCAAATGAAGGTATGCGATCACAGGCAATCAAGGAAATATATTACAATTTTAGTATAAGAGCGAAGCAAAAAGTCAAGGCTGTATATGTTGACAATTTTATAGGTTTGACCAAATGAAATGAGGCTGTCAATAGAGTAAATACTGCAAAGAGTCAAATGGAAGTATTGAGAGTAACTTCTAAAAATATTATTGATGACCTTAGAGGGAAATACAAAAAAAAAAAAAATTATGTTAAATGGTAAAAGAATAACTGTTTGCCAATGATGAACTGAGACATTACAAAACATTGGTTAACCCCCTATAAATGATTAAAAGGGGATGCTGCACAAAGATAACACTATCAAAACATTACATTGAAATTTAATCTCAAAGTGGGATCATTGAAATGAAAAGATTATTCTCAGTAATTTGAATTATAATTTCAAAACTATATAAATTAATTTCATATATTTTTTTATTCACTTCTAAGAACTCTACCCAACGTCTACAAATATATTACCTACTACATCATAAGATCGACTTAACTTCTATAAGTTTACCAGCAACCACCTCTAAGTATCATACAAGGAGATGGTTGAATGATGTCAATAGGCATCAATCATTCTTTTGTTTCATTTAGTCGAATGTAGAGGTGGCCATTAAAACATTTAAAACTCACCCTAAACATAGAATATCATCATTGTGGATTCAAACAATAAAGATAATAGGAATGGCTCGTATGATAAGAGACTCCTTACAGAGATAGCAGTGGTTCCCAATATTTCAAATTTGAAGTGTACTGAGAATCTAGTGCAAACTAATAATCTTGTAATGGAATATGTGCCTTCTCGTGCTGATGATGAATCAGCCCGAAGTTTCAAAAAAAGTGGTAGAAACTTCCTCTTAGAGCAAACATTAAATTTGATTCATCAGCTATGAATATGACGGAAACCTAGAATCTAAGCAATCATATGGTTATAATGGCAGTCTTCCAAAAATAGAAGCACAAGGGGATAAAATGTTTCAAATCTTAATTTTCAAGTGGGCAATAATAATAAAAAGCAATTTTCCAAACCCTAAGGTTTACCAAACTTCAGTCAAGATGCAATAATTTACTAACGATATTGGTATTCTTGACGTGTGTGAAGTTAATGAGGCCTTCCCATAATCGTTACAAGAAAATTTTCTTTTTTGCTATCATGTCTGTCGCTTTGTCGTATGTCCCTCCTTTTCAGTTCCTCCCTTCTCCTGGTCAATCATATGACTCGGGAAAGAGATATATTTGGAAAAGAGAAGTATACGACGATCGACAGACTGACGACTCCTTTTAAAATAAAAAAAAAGAAAAACAAACCAAAACAGAATGACGGCTCTGCTGGGGATGAGTCTCTTACTCCATACTTGGAGTTTTGCTTTCTGGGGTTATAGTCTCTCTCCATACTTATCGTGACCTGGTTTTCTTCCTTCGAGTCACAGTTGAGACTTTTTGTGAGACATTGGTTTTCAGTCAATGTGTCTCGATGCATTATGTCCCTTCTCTCACCCTCAACTGTTTGGTTGCTGCATTATTGCACGCATCGATGTCGTTGTACCTCGTGATTGCTTTCATAACCTCTAATTATTTCAGATCATTGTCCATTTTTGCCCGACGACGCGAAAGAGCAGGAAGATAGATATGATCGCTACTGCCGGGGGAACCTTTTCCCTTCTCCCAGAGCTTTTTCTGTGCTTTTGAAGGTGTCATACCTTTCAGTTCCTTCGAGCGTTTCTGTGGGATTATCTTATGTGATCCTACGCCCTCTGAGGCGTTCGCTCTATGCCCTCCCCCTTAAAAGGGGAACGTGCATATTGAGTTTTGTAAAGCGAGAGAAACTTTGTAGTTAGCTCGCTTGCAAAGTCTGGAGTTCATGAAATGGGAAAAGCTTTGTAGATAGCCCATTTTGCGACGCCGTGGAGAGTTTCCCCCTCGGAGATCCGGAGAGAAGCTCCCCACATTTCCTCACCAGAGCAAGAGGCGGCGGTGCCGCACATCCAAGGGTCTAAACCTTAGGTTTCCCAGGTGAGGTCGTGAGTACTAGCGTGACTCGCTATTATATGTAATCATTTGCACCTCATGATTTGCATGTGCATGTCTTGCATGTTATATATTGTATGTCATATATCGCACCGGCACTTGTACTTTGCACCTTGTATTTGCACGTTGTACTTGTACTTGCACCTTGTATCTCGCATTTGCACTTGCATCGATACCATTTGTGCCTCAACAGGTCACCCCAGACCGGTCGACACCACTTGTGCCGTGGTCGGTCATCCCGAATCGGTCGACTGATCCCTTTGACTCGACCAACCACCACGGCCCGGTCGACTGATCACTTTGGTCGACCAGCCACCATGGCCTCGTCGACCGACTACTTGCATCACTGCATGTTATGTGTATACATATGCACGATTGTTTGCATGTTCACCTTCTTTTTTGCATACCTGGGTCACTGCCTCCACAACACACCAATTTCTGCGGGCCACTGCCGCCACGACACGCTCATCTCCTCCGGTCATTGCATCCTCGGCACACCTTCTTCAGGCCGCTGCTTCCACGACATGCCCATCCATTTTGGTCACTGTCGCCTCGACACACTTTCGGACCGCTGTCGCCACGACACGCCCATCACTTTTGGTCACTGCCGCCTCGGCACACCTTTCTTTAGATCGCTGCCTCTACGGCACGTCCACCTTTCGGGTCACTGCCGCTACGACACACCAATTTGTCCGGGTCACTGTCTACACGGTATGCTCATATTTTCCCGAGTCACTGTCTACACGGTATGCTCATCACTTCTGTTATGTGACTGTTTGCGTTTGCATTTGCATTTTCATGTTTGCATGGGTAGCCAACCATACTCGTTAGGAGAGGGACCCCGTGTTGGTCGCGATGCCTTAACGAGCATTACTTGCTGGGTTGATCTCGGTGAGCAATGCGAGTAAGTCATCGGGACTGACATGAGTATGACTGTGCTAAAGATCTAATAGATCTAACTCGTGTCATCACTCTTCGTGACATCTTTTAGATCATTCGGATCTTTAAGATGGGGCCGGTATGTCGACCCCGTCAAAGTCATACTATACCTATACCTATCCCGCACTTAAATACTAGATTGACGCACTTTTCGTTAGATGGTATGCAAGGCTAGGATTTAGGGTGCTTAGATAGCCTTTTTGATGATTGCCTATTTTTCTCTATTGGATTGGTTGCCCTAGCCAGACATCTTTTTTTTGCATTGTGCTTGTGATGTGACTGCATGTTGCATATGTATGATACTGTGTTAGGGCGTTCTTCTACAGGGAGCCATGCTTATTTATATGCACACACACATGTACCGTTATGAGAGAGCAAGTAATGATTTCTGACTCTTTTGCTTGCAGATGTTATTAGCACCCCCACTTTTAAGACATTACTCATTATACGTCATATGCATGTGAGCTCTCCCGCTAACACTTGTTTTCATGCAGGATTGTGTCTTTTTCTTTTTTCTATGTACTTTTAGAGTCTAGAAGAGTCTTGTAGCAGAAATAAGATTGGACACGGGTTACGAAACGTTAGCGCAGGAATCACGTGGAGGGGACCAGGAGCAGATGCCGGTGCCCCGTATCTTAATTCTACATTTTATATTGATGTATAAGAATTAGGACCCGGGCATGTCTATGCGAAGTCCGACCACCTTTTTCTTTTCTGGGATATGTTGCCGACCCAGCGGCACCTGCCTATTTTATTATTTTGATTTGACTTGCTTTGTTTTTTGCATCATATTGCATGTCTGCAGTTGCATGCGTTTTCTTTGTTTCTTTCTGTGGTTTATCTGTGATTTCACAATATAATCTAGGCTCATTAATGACCATAAAATTGTAATTTTCTACAAAATTCAAATAAAATATTTAAAATAATTAAAATTTAGGATTAAAATATTCAGGATTTAAAAATTGTAACATTTATTTCCCTGTTTATATTAATAGAACCTCCACAATACTTAAGGACCGCTCTAGAAACTTGCATAAATTGCATCATATTTACATGTCCCGATGAGAAGCCACCGTGCTTCTTCAACTCGACTGACCCAGCGTATCTTTACATGGGTGGTTATCTAGTGCGTCTAGGGTGTTAGAAGGCTCCCCGACCCAGACGGGGTGTAAGTCTTTTTGTTTGGAGTGTTTCCAGCTTTGTAGTTGAACCTCCACTTTCTTTTCCTTTCTGAGACATTCTTGTCACTTCGACAGATAAAGTCCCACCTATTAGAGCTTCAGCTTATAGTCATAGGATATAGTTTCTTTCCTCTGACCTTAGGGCTACCGAGGTTCCTGTGGATGACGCAATTCACGGATTGTTGATCGGAGATCTCATGATGTGTTGGGTCGACTACCTTTACGACCAGGTAGACTTAGGGTCCTAGTAGCTGTGTACGACGAGTCTGTGGTACCCCGACCCAATTACCTCTACATTTTAGGATCACTTTACCTTCCTCTTGTTGAGCCCTGTCGTTCCTTGGCTTCGTTGATATCAACTTGACGACCTGATGTCGATGAGCCGCCGCCCATTTGAGATATGAATATTTGTCCTCTGTCCTTTGGCCCGGACGTGCTTTGACGTGTTGGGATAGCCCCGTCAAGATGATTTAGGTTATTTCGTGGGTCCCGCGTACAGATGAGCCACTACCCATTCAGGATGTGAGAGACTCATTCTCTGCCCGATGGCTTAGCGCAAGCTTTGAAGCATCGGGTCTGCTCCCACACGAAATAACCTTTCTTTGAGTACCTGTTGCCCCGGGCTCACGATAATCCAAGTGAAACTCCTTTTATCGAGAGTATTCTTTGGTACCCCCAAAATGCAATAAAATGCAATTAACTAAGATGCAATTAACTAAGTGGGATACGTCCCCTTAGGAGTGCTTTTGACCCCAAAACAGACACCTACATCTGACTCTCTGGTTATGAGTAGTCTACGCAGATATTCTTTCGCGAACATCGATTTAATGTGCATTCACCCGATCTTGTTTGGGCGGACACATTTAACCTATCCTTGCGAGGTTTACCGCACGCAGACTCTCCACGTTTTGTGTTTTCTCTTGTTTGTCGCTTTGTCGTATGTCCCTCCTTTTCGGTTCCTCCCTTCTCTTGGTCATTCATATGACTCGTAAAAAAGATTTATTCGGAAAAGGGAAGTATACGACGATCGACAGACTGAAGACTCATTTAAAAAAAAAAAAGAGAAAAACGAATGAAAACAATGTCATTAATTATTTTACAGTTTGTTTTAAACTTAATCACATGAGAGTTCTATGTAATTTCTTCTATTCTACCCTTTTCGCAAACTAGTTATAAAATTTGCTTCATGAATGGAAGAAAGACGAGCTTTTAAAGGACTGAAGAAATATCTCATACTTAAGTTATGGTATGTAATGTTTCTGCTAAGACGGGATTTTAGCTTGTTTTGGTGAGAGCATCTAGATTGTGAATTTGGAAGCAATGATACTGGAATACTGTAATTCAAGGGATAGCTCTATTCTGCAATTCCATCCCTAACACTAACAAGATCCCAAGAATACTAACAAATTACTAATTGGAAATGTGATAATAATTCTAATGTCATTGCATACACAAATAAACCACCTTAAATAAGAGTCGCCATTCACCAGCTAAATAAGCATCATGAAAATCAATTGCAAGGATGAGGGGACAGTTGTCTGTTAGCAACAATACATCGAGAAAAGGTGGACCAAAATGGAAAACTGACTACGAAAAAAATCTCAAGTAAGCATGAGTGAACGATATTTGGATGCAATATTCTAAATTCAACAATTAATAACTTTTAGGAAATAAAGAATCATATTAAAACAATTACCTTTCACCCTTTTGCGGAAAGACAAGGCAATCTACGAGTCCCATCTCATCAAGCCGCGGATCACAAACAGCCTCAAGTACCCTAATGTCACCAGGGTGGAGACAAGGATTTTTTGTCACAACTACTCTTCCAGTTATAACCACACTTGTAAGATCCGCATTCTGGAAAAAAACTTGATTTTTATCCTGTTGCTCTTCCTTCGTCATGGTCACTCTGAGAAAAACTTGGCCGTACTCTAAAGTGCCAGATTCATCCAGACAACCAATGAGAATTCGACCTTTTGGGACGAAAATTCGGCATCTACTTCGTATATCAGAGAGCTGGTACGCCCGATATGCTCTAAGCAACATAGAGAGGTAAGGCATGGAATTTGGTTCATATCCCCGCAATAATATATTTTCTACCTTTTCTTTTTCGGGTCCAGATATTTTGCTGATAACTGCTAAGGCGACCTCCCTATCTCTCACCATTTTGTCCAGAACATACATCTGATCATTCTGCATTTCCTCAAATACCGCATCTTCAACTCCCAAGGTAGACAGGAGAGAAATTATTTCACGATTTAGAAAGCAAGACAAGTACTTACTATGACTAGTAATATTAACCATTGTGTTGTTTGAATCGAACTTTAACATGCTAGGCCTCAACGAAAGCTTGCGAAAAGAAGTTCGATCAACAGCTAACACGCCCTTGTATCCTCCATATCTTATTTGAAATGCTGAAGGAGTATTGTTCATTCCACATCTTTGAGCTATTTGTTCAGCAAAGGATAGAGATATTTTTCCTATTCCATCTGAAAAGCAATATTTAATTCCATCAATATCACAATAAATATCATCAATAATTTCAACTTCTTTTGATTCAACGCACACTGAAGGAAAGGAAGAGCTGAATTGCTGGCCCATTCTAGCTGCACATTTAGACACGCTACGAATCTTGTTGAAATCGCCCATCCAATTTCTGATGCTTGCTGCAGTAACATCACCGTTTGAAGAAAACATCCAACAAGAATTTGCACGAAGCTGACTAGCAGAAAATGCTAAAAATTCAAACTTTTTTGAGCCGATAGTAAATCCGTCTTGGAGAATCGATAATATTCGATTATATATACCAGTTTTGTGTGTCTCATAACTAAATCCTTGCTCAATTCTTGACGACAGAGCATCAGACGAAAGCTTACCCCAGTCTTCATCAACGAATGAAACCCTAAGGAAATCAGAAGAATATGCAGAAAAATGCTTTATCACATAATTGGAGTTCTCCAGTTCAGGGCCTAACAAATAAACTTTTGAAGGAGTAATGAGAGCTCGGTAGCACCTCATTAAATTTTGCGATAGACTGTTATTATTAGCTGGTGTAACATTCTGATTTCTCCTCATGTTCAGCAATTCACGTTCAAAAAACTGTACTGGATTGGTGCAGGTTGATTTCAACTTCTGCATTTTCATAAAAATTTTTAGAACTATGCCTGAATCTTCTTTTCTAAGAATATCAATCAAATCAGTGGAATGTAAGAGAGAAATCTTCTGTGTTTGAACCAGAGAATTAAGCTGAAAAAGAACGTCATATGACAGCTCAGTTTTATCAGAACAGCCGAAAATAGGAAGTAGTTTTGGCATCGAGCCAAATGCGTCTTTCTTACTGAGGACAACATCTCCCATTTCAGAATAGTAGGGAAGTTTTCTGAATATTTCAGAAAAAGCCAGACAATTTCCAAGTTCCAGGCAGAAGTAAGAAGATGAGCCAAGAGCTTTGGTTGATGAGAAATCCGTTGTCCTTAACCAAACAAACTGATAATCTTCTTTGCAGATATGAAAGCGATCACTACTGAATTTTGGTTTCAAGTTTGTGCCAGAAACTCTCTGATATATTCTTGGTGCAAATTTGAGCTGCAAAATAGGACTTTTAATTCACCAATTGATGGAAAGAATCCAAGGATCTAGTTCCGCTACCAGTAGCAGGAAAAGGAAAGAATCATAATCAAAAGAAATTATACGATAAAAAGACATTGTTATCATTGAAAACTGCTAAACTGGAAAGATGTTATCATAGGGAAGTGCAAAGTTAAAATATTGGCTTATTACTACAATGAGTCCTCATAATTTCGGATATTCTTCTCCATATTATCTTCCCTTTATCATATTCTACATTATCTTACCTGCAACAGAATCGAATTCAACCGCCCTCCTCCTCCCACGCAGCATCCATGGCTGGCGGTAATATCTTCCATATTCACCCCAAGCTTGAAGCTTTCTCTGCCATAATCCAGAAATATCTCCATCTTCTTCCTCTCAGGCATGAACTCCAGCACAACCGCCTCCCACGATTCGAAGACCTCCATCCGGCCCTCATCGCCCAAGATTCCAGCGTGGAGAATTCCTCCACTGATGCGGTTGCTTGCATCCACAGCCCTGGGAAAGATGTCTTCCGGCGAGGGGAAGACGGCGAGATTGGAGCGCTGGAATATGGGAAGTCGGCCCTTGGAGGACATGAGACAGGCGATCTCAGCGGCAGCCAGGGAATCAAACTGGACGCGGCCGAAGCCGAGAGACATCCAGTTCCGGTGAGCGGAGACTATCTCGCAGGCGAAGACAGGACCGACGGCTGACTCGAAGAAGCGCAGCAACTCCTCTGCGATCGCCGTGCGGGGAATGTTGGAGACGCGGACGGTCGATCGAGGAGCGCCCATTAGGGCGAAATGGGGTGGCTGGGAAACGGAAGGTGGGCGGAGGAGGGTTTAGGGCTTTGGAGGTTAGAGAGAGGCAAAAATATTAAGTTGGTACTATTCACAATGAAATCACGTCACGACACCCACGCGATAGAGAAAAAAAACGGGACAGTAATACGGGGAATATTTCCTCCCACATTATTGATGTGTTATTGTGTGTTATTCATGTGTTATTGTGTCCTGTGAATATTCCTGGTGTTATAATAACACAATAACACATGAATAACACAAAATAACACAAGAATAACACGAGAGAGAATATTTTCCCGTGTTACTTCGTCTTTTTTTCTCTGTCATGAATATTTCTCGTATTATTCAAGTGTTATTGTGTGTTATCTTGGTGTTATAATAACACAATAATAACACAATAACACATTAATAACACGCAATAACACATGAATAATACATCAGTAATGCGGGAGGGAATATTCCCCGTGTTACTGCGTCGTTTTTTTTTCTCTGTCCGCGGGGTGTCGTGGCGTGATTTTATTGACTACACACATTACTTCTACGTGCGTAGTACTGATGTAATATTTTTTCTAAAAAAAGTCGTATATGTTATTCTTTTTTTCTAACTAGTAGTTGACATCTCAATGTGACATTTATTTATAAATACACCTAAATAGCTAAATTTTTATATATACTTATGTTGGGGCAGCTTAGCTTATTGCTTGTGGCAGCGTTTAGAAAACATAAGTATTACTAATTTTTAAAAGGTAAATAATTCTTGTTTTTATAACGCCATATGATAAATATACATATTAAATTTTCTATATTTTTTCTTTTTTGTAAAGATGGTCACAACGAGCATTTTTCATTGAAAAAAAAAATATACTTATAGAATATCTTAATCATGACAATGTTAGAAAAAATATTCAACAAAATAACCAGTAGTTACAAAAAATAAAGCAAAGAACCCTAAACCCTAAACCAACACATTAAAATGCAGACAAAAATAAAAAAAAAAAAGGTCAGAAAACTCTCACGATTTATAAGCAGAATTCTGTCCAAAGTTATCCACGACACAAGCATAAGAAGATCATATGGTGTTTGTTGGCGTAAAGATCAAGAGAAAGAGCCCCTTAAGATAAATCAATAAGGTGTTTAGCATGTTAGATAGATGACTCAAATGAGTAAAAAAGAGAACCAGGCCTTCTGGATTGCAATAGCAATGGATACCTAGTTGAGTCCCCAAAACATGTTTGTTATCATCTCGGCTCCAAAATAACAAAAGAAATTTGCAACCGAAAATAAAAGATAGAATTGAACTAGGTAGCAAACTTTGTAGCAATGGAAAAGTCCAGTGATATCCCATCTTCCATCCACATGATAATTATAGTTTATGGTAAAATTTGAAAAGGTCAATTTGTAGTATATCTCTATATCCATCCAAGGGCAGGTGTACTACTTGTGGAATTTAAAATCAAAAGGCAAAACTAAAAGCAATAGTTCAAGTTACGTAAGAATAATAAATGCATCAAAGTTGAAACCCATATAAGTTCTTAGCAAATGATAACTATCAAACGCTCAAATCCCGTTTTTAGTCATTATAACTCTAAAATGACAGAAGAAGTATACAACCAAAAGTGCAAAAAATAAATTCAATGATAGTGAATGCAATGGCTGGGAGAGGGAAAGGGCACAGTCAAACATAGTCCCATCATCCATTTAAAAAATGTGAGAAGAGCAAACCAAAAAAGTATAATATGTGTTTGTGTTCTGGATAGGGCAAATTTAGCATCTAAGAAAAACCACAAAATTCATAATAGAGACAAAAAAAATCAACAAAAAAAGAATGCAATGCAAATAGAGCTTCAACATAGTAGCATTCGAAGTGTAGCATCATAACAAGAAGAAAAACAAAATAAGCAGAGAAAGAAAAAAACCAAGCCGAATTTAATATAAGTCCTCCCATATAATATTATCAAGCAAGATTCAAGTAGAAAAATATAAAGCTGTGATGATAGAAGGAATCTATTTTTTAAAGTGACAATTTTTGCATTTCAATTTAATGGAAAAATAATCATTTCTTTTGATAATATCCTCTTCCATCAAGATATTAGCCAAAAACTTGTTATTCCTTTCCATCCACAAGTAATGAGAGGGACATGCATATGAAATAAAATATTCTAATAATATTGCACTCAATAGATTCAAAATAATAAAAACATGGGGCAACCTATATGAAAAAAGTGTCTATAAGGGATACAACTTTTTAAAAATTAAGTGAACAGAAGCATTCAAAAGAGAGAGAGAGAGAGAGAGAGAGGATGAGACTCAATATTTATGTTGCAAAACACACAAGAAGGTTCAATTTTTAAGTCTCTAGCATATAAGTCATTTTTAGTTTTGAGACCCCCAATCGTCATCTTTTAAGCCATGGTGGCATATTTAAAAGCAAAACCATAGAACCACATACGCTTACTCCAAGTTACTTTAGGATAAACTTTAAAAAGAGAAGCACAAATGAGACAATGCGAGTAAATATTTTTGTTTTGCCAAAGACAAACAGGTTTGCTATCACAAATAGGAGTATTGAGAATGAGTTGCAAGCTGTGACTAGCATTACCATCAGTGCAATTAATATTTCACAAATTATGGCTAGTAAACTAAGAAACAATAGCATACAAATCATAGCCAAATCATGAAATATAGGTATGGACAAAAATTTCAAATATTAAATTTTTGTTGAGCCATGGTTTAAAAAGAAAGAAAATTTTACTATTGCAGTAACATTGAAAGAAGTATCATTTCTTAACCAAGCTGCAATTGGCATGAGTCCTATCCAAAAAAGAGATATCTTATCTTTCATTTTGGCTCAAGAAGATCTATATGATTAAGACACCAATTAGACAAAATATAGTTAGTATTGTAACGTTTCTATAAGATCTTGAAGTTAAAAAAAGTGTTAATAGTATCCATATCGGGTACGCCAAGCCCGCCATTCACCTTTGGTTTAGCAGTAACGTTCCAAACAATTGTATGAAATTTTTTATCTTTACCATTATGATAAATAAAGTTATTTATAAGAGAAAAGAGTTTTTTTTCTCAAACTTTTTAGAATAATTGAAGATCAAATCAATGACAGAGATAATTCTAAACAGTTATCTTAAGGAATAGGAATTTACCAATGAAAGAGGGATTCTCTTATTTCTAACCCATAATCAAAATATGTAACTATCAAGGATCTCAAGGAAATAAGTAGTTTTTCATTTAATAGATTTGATATTAATGCTCAAATAAACCCAAGGGAAATATTTAAAAGTGAACCCTAATTTATCACATATATTTTATTTAATGTGCTCATTAACAACTTTATAGTAGCAAGTGATGAATTTATAAAAATTGGCACAAAGATTGGTTAAACATAAAAAACTCAAATTACAGATGTAATGCACTTAGCAAAGGGAGTAATAGCTTTATTAAGGACTAATCGATCATCAACATTTATTAGATAGGTTATGTTAAACTTATTCAACCCAAATTTAGATTCTTAAAATAATTTATCCACTAATATAGAGAATGCATCCATAACAATTACAAAAAAAATAGGGAGAAAGAGGGAACATTTGTCTAGGGCTAGATGTGTCATACAAAAAACCATGAAATTAACTATTTATGATTATCAAGAATTGTAATTAGGTCGTAAAAGCTTTAATCAAGCCAATGAACTTGAAATGAAAACCCAAGCCAACCATTTTATCAGATAGAAACTTATATCAACTATACCAAAGGCTTTCATAAGATCAATATTAGCTAAAAAAACACTATGATTAGTGGAAATATTAAACTAATGTAAACATATAGTGGCAACAATATGAAGAATGAGTTTAAGTATGTCACCAAGAAGTTTGGAGATAACTTCATATATAATGTTTCATTAAGATATAAACTTATAATCATTAAAAATTTGTAAAATGGGTTGCATGCATTGTTATATCCCCAATCATAATTAATAGGGCCTCCACTCTTAGGATTGTGATAGATATTAACATCATGTTTGCATGTCCCAAGGAAAAGCACAGGAGGAGAAGCCCCCGTGCTTCTCCAATCCTACGGGCCCAACATAGATTTCTACTTAGGTGGTTATCTAGCGCGCTTAGGGTTTTAGAAGCCCCCCCCCCCGTCCCAGTTGGGGTGTAAGTCCTTTTGTTGGAAGTGTTTACAGCTTTATAGCTAAACCTTCATTTCCCTTCTCCTTTCTGAGACATCCTTGGCACTTCGGCTAGTATAAGTCCCACCTCTTGGAGCTCCAGCCGATAGTTATAGGATAGAGCTTCGTTCCTCTGACCTTAAGGATTCCAATGTTCCCGTGGACAATGCAATTTATGGATTGCTAACCGGGTATCTATATTTGTGTTGGTTCGACTAACTTCACGACTGAACAGACATAGGGTCTTAGTTGCTTGGGATGAAGGGTTTGTGGCACCCTAACCCGGTTACCACTACCTCTTAGGTACTAATCCTCCCTTCCTTTAACTACCCATGTTGACCTCTATCTTTCCTCTTGCCTTCGTTGGTATTGCTTTGATGGTCTGATACTGATGAGCTATCGCCCGTTTGGGATACGACAATTTATCCTCTGTTCTTATGACCCATATATGTTTTGATGTATCGGGGTATCCCGTCGGGACAAATTTGGTTATTCTGTGGGCTCTGTGTGTTGACGAGTCCCTATCCATTTGGGACGCGAAAGACTCACTCTCTGTCCAATGATTTAGCCAGAGCTTTGAAGAATCAGGGTTTTCCCACACAGAATAAACTTCCTTTGATAACCTATTTCTCCATGATCATGATAATAAAAGCGAAACCACTTTTATCAAGAATATTCCTGGGTATCTTCTATGTTATAATTAACCAGATGAATGCGTTCCTTTGGGAGACTCTTGACCCCAGAAGAAAAATGTTCTTTTTTATTCTCTGGTTACAATTATGTAGGAATTTTCTTTTTGCATGTCGTGTTTTGAGTTATTTCGATTTTATCTTGTTTGGGCATATACTCTCGACCCATCACACAACGATT